CATTGTTCTTGTTAAAAAATAATTATATTTCAAATGTCATTAATGTAATCAATTCGTATTTTACATATATTTGTTATTAAGGTTCATTCCAATGTAATGGAATGAAAATAGCATGTGGTGAACAAATCTTATATCAGAAAAATATCTTTTAGTCAGAGTAGTCACACCAAAAATGTTGGTTTATCGGTTTCATTAAAATCATATTCGGTATCATTAAACTTTCCAATTCTTCTTATAAAACAGGTACAAGATTTATTACGTTTATAAAATCACACATGGTATATAAATATACCCATATATATCGATTAACAATATATTACATTAGCTTAAAAATGTTTACTTACATTTGGTGTTGAAGTAATGGGTCCTCCAAAATCTGAGCAAAATGAACTATCAAAATTCTTGAATTTGATGAAATAGAAAAATTTTTTTTTAATAATATTTCAATTTAATTTAATATTATATATGATTTTAACGTTATGACTGTAGTAAATACTTTATGATGTATGATGCGCGAAAAATTCAATTAATTAAATATAAAAAAAATTTTGTTGTTATAATTCATTACTGTTAAAAACTTCTTTATAAAATATTTCATTTTTATGCTACAGCATATTTACAATTTGCAATTAATAATATAAATATTCATTTATATATAAATAGTCGAAATATTATAAGTAATCCCTAAGTCTATATGAATATGAACTTGTACTTTTCAAACTATGTACTAACTTATTTTCGGAAAATTTAGAAATTTTTTATTAGAATTCTTTAGAATTAATGTAGTGCCGGTCTCCATTATTAGTGGTGAGTTCCGAATCCGATATTTGAGAAGTTGAAAATACGCATTGTTTATACATTTGTAAAACCTTTTACTAACATAAAAACTTCGTATAAATTACTAATTGCTTAAATACAACAGTTCTAAACTATAATTACATTAACTGTTACCTCACTACATTGTCACAAAAGCTTATTTTGTAAATCGGTTAAATCAAAATCGAAATCTGATAATCGGAAATAATTTTATTTAAAAAAATGTATTATAAGACAATGCTACATGATTTGTTATATGTGAATATTACTTATAACTGCTAGTATACTGCATCTATTTATCAAAAAAATTCTAATCAAATCATTTCTAATATGCACTTTACTTACGGAACTTGTGGGCGTTGAAGGAAAATCCATCATCTGCCCTGGAAAAGGCGTGGCGTTAAAATCCTTTAATTTAAAAGAAAAAAATTTTCTTTTGTAAAAATTATGCTAAAAATTTTTAAATGATTTATATATATCATAAGGTGAAAAAAAAATAAAAGCAATTTTTAAATTATAATATTGTAAATATGTAGTAATTGTTATTTTAATTTTTTGTATTATTTTATATATATATTTTATATTGTATATTATATTATATATATATTATATATATATTACTATGTATTATATGTCACATATAAGTATTTTTTTTATATATGTATAATGTATATAATGTATTATATATTATACTATTTATAACAGTTCAAGTCGATTCGGGGGCCTAATTGATCTTGACTAGTAATGCCTTTAAACATTAGGAATAGATTTTGAAAATATGTCAGAATAGCTAGAGTTAATACACGTATAACGCATTGCATCCGCAAGAAGAAATCGATTATACTTCAGCTCTTCTCTGAATTCCTCTCTATTAAGTCTAATGCACACTTTTAATTTTGTAGTTTGGATATATTTTTAATTTGAAATAACCATTTTTAATAATGATTGATACATTGTTATAATAAAATAAGTTGTAAAATTAATGAATATAAACTATGGTTTTTTCAGGCTGTTTCAGTACTATTGCATATTAGTTTCGTAAACGAACTGAGTTCTATGATTTAACGTATAATTTCAAACTGCGTGTGGATTGAACTGTATAATTTCTAACAGAGATAGTGTGTGCTAAAAACATCTAAGGGTAAAGAAACTAGAATTAGACAAAAAGAGGCTCGAGCAAGCAATTAGATCAAGCTAAAATGGTAGACAAGGATAATGCACCCGAAACACTTGTCGCTAGTCACTAGTCATATGATGAAAGTTTCAAAGAACTACTTGATGGTAATAATAACGTAGTCTCAGTGTAGGATAAAGATTCTAGAAACGAAAAAAAGCGGTTTAGTCCAAAAGATTCGGGCACTCATATTTCGGAACGCTGATTTGTGGTTAATGCTTCGATATGTTAAATGTGTTAATTGGGAAACCCTTAAAAACTTTAAATAACTTTATATATAGATAAAAGTAATTGGTATCGAAATTTAACATATAAAAATAAATAGTAATTTAATACAATGCAATGCTTTCAATTTCACATAAAAAATTAATTTGTTTTAACGAAACTTACTTCACATGGGGACCCCATTGCTGAATCTGGATTCTGTAAAAATTTTAGAGTTTAATAATAGTTTTAATATTGTGTGATCTTACTTGAATAAATATATATAAACAGTAATAATAACTACTAAATATTGTGAAGTATATTAAATTGGATAATCAAGAGAAAGACGTAAAATCATAAAACAAAAAACTTTATTATCTGGGGATGCTTATTGTTTCCATCGAGTACTTCATCGAGTACTAATTTTTTATGTAGCCTTAAAAATTGTTCAAAATATATATTCCTTAATTTTCTAGCACGTAATTAAGGAATTTAATAAAATATCTTATATACTGTAACAGACTTCTTAATAAAATAATAATAATTAATAATAATAAATAATAATAATAATAATTAATAGACTTCTTAATCAACCTTTTAGTTATTAAATATGCAATGCTCACTTAATGTCTTCCCTCTCTTTGCTTAATTTATTTATTTTATTCTTGTTTTCCAATATTTTTTTATTATATATAATTGTATCTTATATTCTTATTTTTATCTTTTTCAGATTTACGCCTGGTCTACATATTCAATGCTAGAGAGGTAAGCTTGCTTGATAAATTATTTTAATGAAATTTTATTATTTAAGTTGTAGATAAACAAATATACTTACATCGAATTCAAAATTAAATATTCTAGTCATAATGTATTATTAAGAGAGCATTTTTAGTACTACTCAAAAGATATATATATATTATCTAACATGGATGGCTAGATTTTACCAATTATTCATTATATAGTATGATAATTATTCTTTGCTTTTTAGAAATTGTATGACCTGTAAATGTTATTTTTATACAAATGTAGCGGAGTAAAGGAAATCAGTGGATTCTGCAATCAACAATTTTTGAAAATTTTATTTGATTATTAAATAAATAATGTATAATCATTGATAATACATATTGTCTGCCTATATTCTTGTAAACTTTTAATGACAAATTTAGATACATTCGTACTTCTATTTAATTGATTCACATACTATCAAAAATATACTTCATTACTGTAATAACTTTAATTGTGTTTTTACAATTAATTAACAAAATACAAAGAAATTATAATACTTACCGAAAGTCCTCTTCGTTGTTCTTTTAACTTTCTTCAAAAATGGTCGTAATAAATTATTGCAAATTAAGTTTTCATAGTTTTTATTAATAATTCAGCAATAGAGTATTCCTTTGATGGATTTATACAAATTTATTGCAGTGAACACATTCTAATTTTGAAGGCCAATTATTTTAAAAAATAACTGAAAAGAATCGCTTAAATATGATCTGTGATATATATAAAATTGGCCATTTTCCGAAAAATTATGCTATAAAAATTAATAATTATTGCTGCATATTTGGAAAATATTTAAATTATTTTTTATTATTTAAATAAATTTTTGACATAAAGATTGTTAGTTTCTTTGTTAAGTTTTTAATATTTATATTAATACCTTAAGCAAATTTTTTGTATATGTCCCATATTTTAACTGTAGGTACTACGAGTAGTAAAACAAAATTAATACTATTCCCATGCATGTTTCAAAAGAACAATCTATTTATAGTATGTATTTAGAAAGAATAATCGTTTAATTAAAAATGTTTATCGGAATTGGTTAACTTTTATATTACTATATTATAATACTAATACTAATATTAATATTAATTTGTAGTATATTATGTACTTTAAACTGATGTCTAATATATCTGCGTTTTGATTACTTTCATGTCTAATTAAATGTTCCAAGACTTTTATTTCCAATAAAATTAATTTCTTTATTTTTTTCAACATTTTTTTTTATATTTTTTTAACATTTATTGTCAGAAATTTTTTTTCTATCATACTCTATTTTCTTTACATCGGCCTTTGAAATCTTCTACTATTTTAAATGCCATATATTCTGTGCAATGCAAATAAAATAATAGGGGTATTTACTCTGTCCTGTAAAAATATTGCAAGGTGCACGACATGCAAGAATGATATACTGAAATTGCAAGCGTGGGAGAACATCTCTGTTGCTAATATTGCAAGATCAACATGAAACAGCTGTTTTTGCAGCATACCATATCCACATGAGAAATAGCAGATGTCAGAACAGCTGTTTTATTTCCTTTTTTGCTTCGTTGCAAGCATGCATACAAAAGTTTAGGTATAGCACAATTGCAAGCAATAGTAAGAAACTTTATGCGTATATCTTGTCCATTCTTGTCCATTGTAATCTCGCGCAATCTGTTCATTTCGTGTACTTTGCAATGAGTTTTCATGACATAGTGAATATCTTTAATATAATGAGATGGATAAGTCAAATAACATTGCAATACTAATATAAGCATGAGAATTGCCAGTTGTTAAACTACCTATTTTTTATATGATGATTTTGCTTATTTCACAAGATGGTTCCAGATTTCTTACATAGTAATTTTCCAATGTTCTTTAGAAATAAAATGTTATGTACTTATAACAAGCACTAAATAAAGAGTTTTAAAAATATGATATAATATTTCTTAAAAACTTGATATTCCTAAAGTACTTTTCAAAATACTCTGATGTTTGTTGCAGTTTATTAACGTGTCTGAAGCAAATTTAATATTATATATTAATAAACATATGTATTAATATTATATTCTTTTGGTATACAGAAACTATTTTCAATATGTCAAACAAAACTAGAGATATGACTTCATATCTCCAAAGACGTTATTAGGTAGTTTTGTTTTACTACTATCTATAAAATACTTTGGATTGGGTATGGACCTGGGCACAATAAAAAAAGTAGAATTTTCCGGATGGTGTATCTACTACACCGAGTCCGGGATGGGTTGATAACCATGAAAATAGGTATAGAGCCATGAGATAACTGGAGATTTGTACATCAAAATAGGTGAAATCAGATGTAAGTAGCGTTTAAAATTTTAAATAAGCAAGTCAAGCATTATGTTGTATTTAATTTATTGGGCATTAAGAGTGTTACAATATTTTGCATTTTATTGTTAAAAAATCGATAATTCATATAATTTTTTGTTCGCAATAATCACCACTTAAAAAACGCAGAACTCTCACATCCATTAAGTTCTTCTCTTTGTTTTTTTTGTATAAGCATTACTTTGATTCACTTTGATCATCCTTTGAAAAAGAAAGAAAAACAATATTAAATAAAATATGTAAGATTTAAAAAATATTGCGGTTATCACTTTAAAGTGTAGTGCTTCAAGCATTGATCTTGGGTCAAAGTAATGAAAAAAAACTATAGATAGGGGAATACATTCTCAAAATTAACAGAACACAGGTTAACAAAAGAAAGCATTCCTGAAAAAACGAATAAAATCAAAATATAAATTTTGTACCAAATCCTTTAATCTTTCAAAATTTTGTTAATAATTAATTATATTTTTAGCTGTTCATACAGCTGTTCTGAGCATTGCCAGTATTTAAATTACCAAATATTTAACATTATTAGTCCTTTTGAAAATATTTCTTATATATAATTATTCATAAATAATTTATTTTATACCAAGGATTGAACATGTTCTCTGTCAAATTTGAAGCTCAGAGTCAGTGATCCAAAGTTATATTTGTATTTTTCTAATTTCGACTATTATAAATTTGTTGTGAAAGTTCAATAACAAATTCGTTTGTTGTGTCATATTAGAACTAATAACTGTTTTTTAATTGTTTAATCCTAGACCTAGTTCATTCGTCAAAATTGACTTAAAAATAAAATTTAGTAAAATATTATTTAAATTGATGTTTGACGTGTCTTCGAACCCAAACGCTGTTGAAAGTTATAGTTATAAAAATGCAAAACTAATCTTTTAAGAAAAATATTGAATATATCACTTTCTACATGCGGCTTAATATTGAAAAAGGATCCCACTTACCAATTTTCACACAATTTTTTTTTCTGTCATGTAGCAAGAATTCACCATCCCATATTTTTTATAATTTTTAGTTTTTACTATGCCTCATAATAGCTAATAGTGTTTAAAAGAACTGTCCTATGTTGTTAGTCTCTATTCAAGTTAAACAAGTAAAAGCGCTGAAAACAACAACAAATGTAGTGATCGATGATCTTTTGATTACCTGTATATCACGGTTCTTATAAGATAGAGTACATTGCCTTATTACAGAATCAGACGACCCATATAAATTTCTTAAGCTTTGTAGCGCTCCTCTTACCAATGCTATTTAAAACAAATCTTAGAACTTCTACCGTCCATATGAGTCCTTTAAGGTTTGCAATATTCCTATCCCCATGCCTATTTGAAACAAATTAAAAATGTTACTAACTTAAAAATTTCAAAGTACTTACGCATCCTCTATTTTCCCTTGCACCTCTTATCTGTATAGGAAAGATGTAAATTTATAAAATTGTTTTAAAAATATTAGAAAAAATATGCCGTTCTGCAGTGACCGAAACCCATATATAAGCGAACTATACAACTATAGTCATATACTCATACTCTGTTTATTCAAACGAAAATCGAAAATTTTTAATATGGTAACACCACCATTCTAGAATATTGGCAATCTTAGTTTTGTAATCGTAACTCAAATGTTGTAGAATTTAATGTTTCCAAGCGATGAATTCAATGGTACGGTGAATAATCATTTGAAGATTTATTAATAATTGATTAATTTCGGAGCTACAGAATACGACTGATATATCATGCTACTTACCCTTTGCGCATGTTGTTGTTGAGCCAGATTCATAGAAGATCCGCTTGCACCATGTAACGGACACTAAAGTAAAATTTTATACATACAATTATTAGATATAATATTGTAGTTACTGTAGTATTTTGTGTTTGTCAAGAAACTCGTTTTGTCAAATTTAACAAATCATAAAATTTGACAAAACGATTAATAATAAAAATTTGATGCAATTTTGATCAGATAAACGGCTGAAAGTTAATTAAGTCCAAGTAAATTGAATATATACATATATAGTTTTGAATTTGCTTTAAGTTCAATGAAAATATTTTGTAGTATACAATATTTGCAAATACTTGTTACATTTTAAAGTCATATATATATATGATATATTCATATATACATTATGAATATTATAAATCATATCAACTTAATTTTATTTGATAATATGTGTTCTTGCAAGTATGGTTGGCTTATAAATCATATTTAGTAATTATGTGTATATTAGAAAATTTTAAGCATAAAAAGATTATTACTTACCTGTCGTTGAGGGGGTGGAGCCTAAAAATACAAGATTTTATTATTATTGTATAGTATATAGTATATAAAAACTATATTTTAAAAAAATATTGTGAACATAAAATATTTCTATAGTAATTATAAAAAATTTTATCATTTCAAAATATAAATCTAATCTCTGAAATCCAATAAAATTTGAACCTTAACAAATTTATAAATTTTAATTACATTTAATGCAAAAAAACAATATAAAACACAAAACTCAAAAAATGAACATTGTATATATAATATTTTATTATATTATACAATATTTTAAGCAGTGATAGGTAATAACTATTGTTTAAACTGTTCAATCATCATACCAGCTACTCTAATATATTCGAGCAATTTGAAGATATTCGAGTTAATCGAAGATATTCGAGTTAATCGAAGATATCTGAGCTAATCGAAGATATTCGAGCTACTCGAAGATATTCGAGATACTGGAAGATATTTGAGCTACTCGAAGATATTCGAGCTATTTGAAGATATTTGAGCAACTCGATGATATTAGACCTACTCGAAGATATTCGAGCTTCTGGCAGTTATTCGAGCTACCTGAAGATATTCGAGCTACTCGAAGATATTCGAGCTACCTGTAGATATTCTAGCCATACGAAGATAGTCAAGCTACTCGAAGATATTCTAGCTACTCGAAGATATTTGAGCTACTCAATGATATTTGAGCTACTCAAAGATGTTCGGACTATTCGGAGATATTCGAGTAACAAAACAATTCCATATGCAAAACAATTAGTGCTCGAGCACCATATGATATACTCGAAAAATTAAAATGCTTTAAGCTTCAAATAGGTCAAATAACATATAAAGCTTTAATAATAAGGAATTGATTATCTCTAAAAATACTTGCACTTACTCTTGGTCGTGGGCACTGAGGACGTGATTGCACGCGTGCTGGGGGACATGGTGCCGAACGCATTGGAGGATACTGTTGAGCTGGACCCTAGAATCAAAATATTATTCAATTCTACTTCAAAACTATATTTGATAATAATAGTAAATTAATAGTAAATTGTAATTTTAATTAATTAATAAAAAAGTAAGAGAGGTGAAAAGAAGAAGCAGTTTGAAAACTTTTTTGAACTAAATTTAAAAACTTTCCTCAGTTAGTTATT